ACACTCAAGTAGCGGGTAGGCCGGTACCGCACCCGGYAGGGGGGTAAATATGCAGGTACCGGAGGCCGAGCAGAAGAARACAAATGTGGCATTTTTAGAGGCCAGTAGTGTAGGCTAGGTCTAGCGGGTACCAGTCTGAGTCTAGGGCCTGTAGGGGCAATATCAGAGTCTGCTATGATGTTTCCCTCCAAAAGAGGAGGAGGTACCGGTTGCTTGGCAAGGCCAGCGGCCTGGAAGTCACCGCYCAAGAGGCAAAGCWGGCYGCTATATCTTCAAGYCGRGCGGAAGACGCGRCCTCATTTTCGGTGTGCAAGTTTGGCGACACATTGGAGGAGCGATGGATGGAGCAGCGCTGCTGGGGAGGAAGAAGAAGGACAAGAGGGAGGAAGAAGGAGGAAGAAGGAAGGAAGGGGGAGGAGTGCCAGGGGTACTTACGTGGATATGGTGGCAGCCATCTTCATCACCTTGATGGGCGCTCCAGCAAGGAGTCCCCAGCCGGGGAGAGGTACACCAAGAAGCTTCAAGGCAGGGATGGGCATGGCGGCCTGAGCTGGAGCCGTAGCTTCTTTGGGTTGTCTTTTGGACATCGGAGCAAGGCCTAGTAGTCCGCCATAGCCTTGGCCTATGGGAGCGAAGAGTGGGAGAGGCGACCATGGCTATGGTGGACCTTGAGTGATACCTGCTGTAGAAAAGGGACTCGGACATGATTCTGGACTAGTCATTCTTCATTGTATCATTATTTCTTGTATGAATAAGAGAAGGGGGAGATAAGGAGGAGGATATTGTTGGGCGAAGGAGAAGAAGATCCTTGTCATTATCTTTGTTGGTGAACATCTTATTCTTCTTCCTTCTTATTTCTTCTTCTTCTTTTACYCCTCTCTCTCCTCTCAAGTTCATTCATTTCTTTCTGCAATTGGATGGCATTGTACTTTCCAGTGGATGTGTATCTCGCAATTGGCCAGGGTCATAACATAATAGTAACTAGGTATGGCTGACGRGCAAGCTCGGCAAGCTGCGGGTGGGATCCACCCAAAAGSTGAGAGAATCATGCTGGCTGCTCTGGAAACGTGTCYYATCACCGAAGATTAACGAGTCAGATGTTTGGATYRGCWGGCTGGATCCTAGCTAGAGTTCTGATGCGAGGTGAAAATTGAGAGCGCCCCCACGATGACGGCGTTATGGCCCAGGAATAGGGGAAGTGTAAATACTAAATTATACAATGGTCATTATGTGCATAATGTGTAATGTGTGCACGAGTCAAATAGAGGTCATCCYGAATCATCTATACGGTACTARTTGCCTGTTTGAGATAAACCCCGACAGATTTGGGACTGGCGCTGGTAGGTCACCTRCAGCAGATGAAGTTCAGGCGTGAACTGACGGAGTGGCACGATTGCCAATTGTTTCTTTCAAGATGGATAAAATATCTTTTGCTTAGCATAGCCTAATGGGACCTCGCCCCCGGATCTGTTTGCTCGAAGGTTCTTTTTCTACTTTTTGAGTTATGCAAGGAATTAGTGTGAACGATGTACAAAAATCCAAATCGCAAATCACGCAGAAGCCCAAGTAGTCATGCAACGAGCAGATAGCACATTTGAACCAAGAAACCATCCATATGAGAACGATACAGCGGAGTCGTGAGTCAATGTCCAAGCCCTCAGGCCACACCGACACAGTATCCAATGTAGCTCTTTCAGAATGGCGCCAGGCGCCCTGCCTACTCAACTCACTACGTCTACGACCTCTACATGTAGCAACCAGGACGACTTTGCCTTTGAAGACCAGTGTGCATGACGTCAACACCAATGCCGATCTCCTTTCGCACACCAGGTATGTACTCACTCGCTCCCCTCCTTCCTTCTCCACCCACTTTGTGCCTTCTTCCTGAAGACCACCTTCGCCCGCTATACCCCTGCGCGCCTTGCAGCCCGGCTATGGCCGCATGCGCCCCGCTGCCCTGCAACGCCCCACCTCACCTCTTAGCGCTCGCTCGCACCTCCAACCAGCAGCGCTAACGCAGCCTCTTGCGCACTTGCGCAACAACGTGGCGGCATTGCCTGCCCAGGCCAGAATGCCTGGCCCTGGCTGCCTTACTCCCTATATGGAAGTGGCAGCCAGCATGTGCTGCGGGCCTGGCCTGCGTAGCTTCCAGTAGCTTCCGGTTGGGCCCCAGTGGCTGCGCCCAGGCCCATCTGATAGTTAAGGCCTGAGCCTCTTACAGTTGGGCCTCCCCAAGGCTGACGTCCAAGCTCACGTACTCGGCCTGTTTCGCATTGGCTCGCTGGGCCTGTATGATGACAATGCTGCCCTCTGATTTGCCCGCGACCTGTCCGTGATGTGTCGGGCTTTCCTGCGTGTGGCCAGGGCCTAACCAATCGGGGCCTTGGGCTCAACTGCTTGATGCAGGAGCCAGAGGCTCACGCTGCACTCCAACCAACTGGTGTACTGCAACTATCTGATACCCACAATGCATCGCCCGTCGGTGAGATCGTATCGATGGGGCGCAGCGCCCCCGGACGCGCTGCGCCCCGCCTATGTCTGCATACCACCACCACCACCACCACCATTGGGAGAAATGCGAATTTGGTCGCACCCGGGTCTTGTATCTGGGTCATGAAATTTCAGCAGATGGATTAAGGCCTGATGACGCGAAGGTGACTTGCATTCGTGACTGGCCACGTCCTCTGTCTGTGACTGARGTGAGATCATTCCTTGGGATGACCGGCTACTATCGCAATTTTGTAAGGAATCATAGCATATTGGTCGCCCCTTTGTCTGATCTCACACGCCTTGACACCSCGTGGGAGTGGACTAACAAGTGTGAGGCTGCGTTCAAGCATCTGAAGCATGCCCTCACCCACTATGAGGTCCTAAAACTGCCAGATCCTGACAAGCCGTTCATTGTGACCACGGACGCCAGCCAATATAGCATTGGCGCTGTGCTTGTGCAGCAGGAGGGGAAAAAGTTGAGGCCCGTAGAGTTCATGTCCAAAAAAATGCCCTCTCATAAATTGGCAAAGTCCACATATGAGAAGGAATTCTATGCGATCTATAAGGCGCTCACCCATTGGAGGCACTATCTCCTTGGGCGGTTCTTCATCGTGAGGACTGATCATCAGACCTTGCGATGGAAGAAGACCCAACCGGTGCTCTCAGACGCCTTAAGGCGCCGGATTAATGTCATTGAACAATATGACTTCAAGCGAGAATACATTAAGGGAGAGTACAACAAGGTTGTTGATGTGCTGTCGCGTAGACCAGACTTCCTTGGAGCGCTAGTCACTGAGTTTGGGCTTGCGGACAATGTAACTCAATCCTTGGTGGAAGCCTACCGCGAGGATCAGTTCATGTCTGAGATCATACGCAGACTTGAGGCCAACGATAAGGTCACCTCTCATGAGTTTGTGCTGGTCAACGGCTTGCTGTTCGTTGAGAAGGTCGAGAATAAACGCTTGTGTGTTCCCAGTAGAGAGTCTTTGCGTAGTTTATTTTTAGGCGAGTGTCATGATGTCACTAGACATTCTGGTTTCAAGAAGACTGTAGCCAACTTGCTGCAGCAGTTCTGGTGGCCCACGATGATTAAAGATGCGAAGCTGTATGTCGAGACCTGTGTTACATATTCCAATGAGTATGGGCAGAACCAAGGATCAACCAATGTAGGATGAGCATATATGCAACGGAAGTCTGATAAACGGACTGACTCACATAGACTGACTCACATAAACTGACTCACATAGCATCACTCCACACACATACAATCGTGAGATGGTGGGGTCTGGGCCAAGCA